TTCCAGCTTTATCCAGACACCTCAAGCTTACTACATATCAAATGATATTATGTTATATTAACATAATAAACCTAATCAACTGCACCCATCTACACTAAACAATTTTTGCGCCCATATACACCCTCCAACAGAAGAGAACACACCCACGAAAGCAGCACAAGCATATGAAACTAATAAAAGCTCTTCTGTAGAAGGATAAAATAAGATTGCCAAATAACTATAAATTGTACTCGGATTTAAATAAATATTCTGACATATTTTTGCAGCAAATGCTATATACATTTACCAAAGGTATATAGGCTTTTTTACTAAAAATAAAATAAAATAAATTTACAATTTGTGTTCACTTTTTTTGTTTCTGCGCTCAACAGAACATATTCCAAAGCATAAGAAAAAGAACTTGCATTTCTTCCCTTTGTTGTACCTGAAACAACAAGAAGCAATTAAGAGTTAAGACCCTATTCATTTAATTCATAAATCAGAATTTAAATGTAAAAAAAATAACTTTAAAATAAAATGATAGGGGTGAAATCATCTTGATATGTTTTCGATAAAGAGATACGAATTGATATCCTGATAAAAAATAAATAAATAAATAAACTACAAAAAAGATCAAAATGATTATGGATGAGACTTGATTCGAAGTACTGTCAGATTCAAAAAAATCTTCCACACTTATCGATCCACGTGTATGGGGTGGGAGAATACTTCACCCGTTGAACCCATCTTCCTGGAGCACTAGGTTCTCTCCGACCGGGCATATTCAAAGAGCCGAAAGACGAGAAAGCGATCAGAGACAACCAGTTCCACGCACATTCATTAAAAAAGTCGGCCTAATCCTTCTATGAGTAATAGAAGTAGCCTTGATGGGTTCAAAAGGAGCTTCCCTTAGACTTAGTTGATAACAAACGATTAGCAATGGTATGACTCATTCTATATAAGGCCAGGACACGAGGTAAGTCAATAAGTCACTCTTACTGCGTCTTTTCCTCATTAGTAAGTAAAACTACATTACCGGGAAATCCCATCAGCCTGGCTCTTTCTGCAATAAGTAACAAACTTGAGAGTGAATTGCTCATCTGTTATAAAGAAGGGATAGAACATCTAGGGGTAAGGTAACGGGGATGTACTTATGAGATATCTCGTATTAACGATATGCTTCGTACTAAGCAAACCTCCCCTTTTATATGGATTAGCTTGGATGCGGTTACCTACTCACACGATCAAAGAGAATAATCAATCACCCCTCCCACAAAACAAAAGATAAATATTTGATTTGCCCATGGGATGGGTTTTGAGAGCTTTTTCTGCCCTTAGATAGTGGGAGTCAGAGACTTCCTTTGACTTTTATATGAGAAGCTTGTCTACGAAGAGAGAGAAATTGCTGAGGGAGAGAGGGATTATGAGAGAGAAGGAAGAGACCCATGGGAGAGAGACAGTGGTAGAGATGGGATCTGGGAGAGAGAAAAATCACAGACGGAGAAGGATGTGAGAGAAGGAATAAAGAAGGGAGAGAGACCCGTGGGGAACGGTAAAGATGGGATGGAGAAGAGTTAGGGTTGTTTTAGCATATTTTATAGTGGAAGCTTATGTCATATTTGCGGTTGGGGTGGAAAAGAGTTAGGGTTTGTTTTGGCATATGTTATAGTAGAAGCTTATGTCATATCTGCGGCTGGGATCGAAAAGAGTTAGGTTTGTTTTGTCATATGTTATAGTGGAAGCTTATGTCATATCTACGGCTGGGATCGAAAAGAGTTAGGGGCTGCTGTTGGTTTCCAATTACAACTTATGGACTATTCTCTGGGAGTTGAGTTTGAGAAACCCTACCATCTGAAAATCAGTCAAAGAATCAAATGTTAGAGAAACCCTACTATCTGAAATGATGAAGATGAAATGGTGATGAATGATGTGAAGATGGTGACTCAGGGTTAGGTCCTTTCTCTTCTTCTTGTTCTAGCCTCCTCCTCTCTTTCCCTCACTTCTCATTATTCTCTCTTCTTTTCATCCCCTTTTTCCTCTCTCTCTTCATAGTTCATATGTGTGGGAAATTCGATTGTACATGTGTCAAATAGATCCATTTAATGGCTACCACTTAAAACCCACTAAAAGTCACTTTCACTTCCCCACCTAGCCTAAATAAATGCACTTCCCTACATTAATTTCTTCTCACATCTAAAACAATGAAATCAAGGGCCTATTCAACAATAGAACAACACCAAGATCAAACTTAAATTGTTTAACGTATGAGGGAAGGAAGGAAGAAGGGGTATAGAGAGGGAAGGAGAAAAATTTTCTTGCGCTCGTTGTAATGGGCACATTTAGATTGTCATTGTAACATACGCTTTTGTGAGTGGTTGGATGTGCCCGTTGCACAGTGTAACAGGTATAAGGAAGTTTTCCTCGGAGGAAAGATATAAAAGAATAAATAATTTATCTTTTTTGTCTAGTAGAGAAGAAATAGGGAGGAAGAAAAAGAGGGCTTCTCATGAGAGGGCAATTTGTAACTTTTGAAAACAAATGAAGGTTATTTGGTGACAAAAGTAGCACAAAGAGGTATTTTGCCCCTTTTTGAAAGTACAGGGAGTTAGTGGCAAAGTGTAATTTGCCCTTTAAAAAAAATAAAATTATGAAAAAGTTAAATGGTTGCTGAAAGAAATTTTCATCAAAAAAATTTATTTTCCTACTAACTAAACTTTAAAACTGTTTAATTTTTTACTCAAAAATAAAGATATGTGAATTCATAGCTTGTTCAGATCTTCCAAAGCACAATGCAAGTGGCATGCCCCATAACCCATAGTAACTGATAGCCCATTTTGTCTGGACTGATAAATGAAAATAAAATATGGTTGCAATACCCATCACAATATAATTTTGGGTTTTAACAACAGAGGGCCTATTTTAAACTTTGAGAATGGACTATATTTTTATTTTTATTTTTATTTTATACAGCGGAGTTTTTAGAAAGGGTCAACAAATCAAACAATTTTTTCTAGAGTTTTTTAATTTTTGATTATGTTTTTATAAAATTGAACCAAGCAATTTATCGGTCTCATTCGGGTTTGGTCTCCTCTTAAAATTTCAAAGTTATTTTTAAAATTTTAAAAATATATAGTATTAAGAATGAAAGAAGTATAAAGATGCATTTAACTTACCTCGAGGAATCCCTCAATTACGGAAGGGAAATCAGGAATTGAGTTCATTATAGGATCTATTGTATCTTTTTTAGAAGATGGCATGCCGCCACTCGGACTCGAACCGAGATGCTCTAGCATTGCTTCCTAAGAGCAGCGTGTCTACCGATTTCACCATAGCAGCTTGCTCGAACTCATAATAGCCTATTCATATTCAATCGTCGAGATTAAAGGGGTCAAGTCAATGCAATATTTTTTAAGAAAGATTTAAAATGATAAATAAAAATTGAATTGGATCAATACTTCCAATTGAATGAGTATAAGGAAAGGATCCATGGATGAAGATAGTAAAGTAGATTTCGAATCGTAACTAAATCTTCAATTTTTCTTTACAAATCAAAAATGGAAGCAAAATCGCTATTAAACGATGACTTTGGTTTACTAGAGACATCGACATATTGTTTTAGCTCGTTGGAGAAACAAAATCGTTTTAATTGATCAAAAAGAAGAATCTATTTCAACCGATATGCCCTTAGGCACGGCCATACATAACATAGAAATCACACTTGGAAATGGTGGACAATTAGCTGGAGCAGCGGGTGCTGTAGCGAAACTGATTGCAAAAAAAAGAAAATCGGCCACATTAAAATTGACTTTTCAAATTGAAAACTATTTTGGCGTAACCAAAAAAGAAAAGATGAATGAGGGAGTATAACAATAAACAAGTCAAACTTGAGAGTAACTATTTTTTAAAACATAGTTTCAAAGTCAAACATACCTCAATAATTCGTACTTGTTAATAGAATAATAGGAGAACATTTGGCAATCACAAGTTGCTTTACTCTGTATTTGCAATACGCAATAAAGAGTAGTTATATATGGCTTTTATAGAGAGAGCCTATTTTCTAATATTTGGGTGAGAAAAAATAATTTTTTAAAAAAATCAGGATCACTCCAAAAATATTTTAAAAAAAAATGAGGATCACTCAAAGTCTTTACTGTCCAAAGATGTAAATTATAAAAGCAAATATTTATTGTTATAAATATAAGAACAAATATAAATTGACACAACTACACTGTCAAAAGATATAAATTATAAAAGCAAATATTTGTTGTCATAAATATAAAAACAAATATAAATTGGCACAAGCAAAAGCAACAAGATTGATAGAGAGAAAACTTAGATTTATATGATATCCAAAATATAAGGTTGAATTGATAATTTATATCCAAAAAAAGAGCTTACAAAGTAAGCTAAAGAATGCAACTTGTTATGCACAAGGGCGGTAGACTTGAGCACGTCAAAAAAAAAAATAAATAAATAAATAAATAATCCTATACTAATTTTAGCCCAATCAAAAAATAAAAAAATAAAAAAAATAAAAACAGTATTAGCCCACCCCAAAATTAGCCCACTTAATTAAGCCCAAGTCACTCAACCACCACACTAAAACAAAGGCCCAAGCCAAATTTATAGGCCCATGGATGATGGGCCACCAGAAAAACTATATATATATTTTTTAGGGCAAATCATTTCACCCTTCCCAATCGCCTCCATCTCTATCCCGGATCTCAACTCTGAACTTGCCCTCCCTCACTCTGCAACTGAAACTACAAAATCTACAAGAATCAGAAGTTCAAAACCCATATATTTCAGTTTATCTCTCTGTCTGCAAGAATCAAAAGTTGAAAGCCTATTACCTATATCAAAACCCCCATATCGGCCTATCATTTGATTGTTAAAAAAATCAAAACCATCTTTCAGTTTCCATCGCCCCTGTTCCAGTTCGGGTTCGCTGTTCGCAAGCTTCAGCCGCTGTCTCTGAACTCTCAAGCTTGCCCCCCCTCTGCAACTGCTAACTTGTATGTATTGGTTTTGTTTTCTATTTGGTGAATTTTTTTTATGATCTTTTTTATATAATATTTTTTTTACAATATAAAGTAACAAAATTTGCATTGCATTTTGAGGTAATCACCGTAATCTACATTTTATTTCAATATATATATATATATATATATATATATAGTTTTAGGGCAAATCATTTCAGCCTACCCAATCGCCTCCATCTTTATTCTCGTTCTCAACTCTGAACTTGCACTGCACTCGGAAAAAGAATGAGGCTCGTTCAGAGGGATGGGATGTTTCTAAGGGTGGTTGACCCTCTCTGTAAACGATGATCTCCTACAAAATAAGGGATGTGTGATCATCTAGAGCCAATGATCTCATTTCCTACAGAATCAACAGCCCTTTGTGTGTAGTGTGTGTGTGTGTATATATATATATATTTGTGCGCGCGCGCACGCGCTGGACTGGTGCATCTCCAATCCTTCTTCTTCCATCATCATCATCATCAATCATCAATAATCATTATAAGAGGCTGTGATAATATATGTTCTGAGTGGATCATACTGGCATTGAGAATCGGATCCGTTTGTTGGCGGGGCAAACCAGAGGGTCTGTGGGAGAGAGATTTGGTTCTTCTCTCAAAGGCAACTGTTGTTGCAGCCAGGGTGGTGGGATATACTCTTGCCCTGATCAAAAGCAGATCTGAGCCTCAATTGTAGTCGAGTGTATTTTATTGAAAATTTTCAAAAAAAAAAAACCTCTAATCTTTATATTTTCAATATATATATATATATATATATATATATATATATTTCTATTTGGTGAAATTTTTTATGATCTTTTTTATATAATTTTTTTTTTTTTTTTACACTATAAATTAACAAAATTTGCGTAGCATTTTGAGGAGGTAATCATCGTAATCTACATTTTATATCAGCAAAACAAATATAATTTTTTTTATTTTATTTTTGGTTTTCAATTATGTCCGCAAGAAATTTGAATCTGGGCATGAAAAAAGAAAAAAAAAAAAAAAAAAAAAAGAATCTGAATTGGAATAGAAATCTGCAGAGATTGAATCTGAAACAATTTTTATCCACATGCCAAGCTTTTGGAAGACGGAAATCTTTTCAGAACTAAAAAAAAATCATTACAAGAACTTTGACAAGCAAAACTAGTTAATATAGGGTAAAGTTACTTCTTGAAAATTAAAATATTTACAAAAAGCATGCTTTTCAGTGAATTCCATAGTGTTGGAAGGGGCTTGCCATGAACTACCTCACACTCTGCTTCCAGTCATAGATTCTCAAATAGGATTAGTAAATTGGTCAAAAGAAGAGATAGGGTACTGAGTGGTGAATTGTTCAGAAATAAATTGGTAATTTTTTTTTTTTAATTACCCAAATAGGATTTTCTATGCCTTAATCAGTCAATTGTCTAAAGAAACATTGTTAATTAACTAAAATTGAATTAAACAACAGTTGATTTTGGTTGATATATGTTTATTTAGCCCACCCCATTGAGAAATCCTGGATCTATATATATATATATATATGCAAGTGGGTTGCTATAAATCACAACCACTCTCTATCAGCCAACAGTTCGTCGATGCCTTGCAAAGCGGTGGCCGACCGCCACATAGGTCATGGAAGAAGCTTCTGTAGGCAATTATCAGTGAGCTTTCTCTCTCCATCCATTTCAATAGTGTCATCGCTAATTCGTGTTTTGTTTTAAATATTCTATCTTTGGTTTATTGTGATTTGATTTTATAATCAGTTTATTCTTCATATCGTGAATCAATTTTTGGATGTTCTTGAAAATGGATTTTAAGAATTGGTCATGTGAGTTAAAGTCATTTGATTATGACAAATTAAGGACGATTATCATAAATTAGTCGATGTAATTTATGTTTCCAATGTAATCATAAATCTGTTTGTAACAATTTCATCACTATGCTAGTATTAGGTCGAAATTCTAACTCCACGGCCCAAGTAGTGTTAACCTCTGTGAATTCACTACTTCCACTTCACCCGATCTTGTGTTTTTATTTCTTAAACTGAAAATAGTTCATACCAGACCACATGTTATATAATAATTTTAAAAAAAAAAAAAAGTAAAATGAACCAATGGAAATAGCTAGATGCAGATTTGTGGTTTTGAACACCTTCAATTTGGGTATTTTTTTAGGGTTTAGTTTTAGAGGGGACACTGTTAATATTGTTGTCATATTGACTAAGTGCAATTATTTGTCATTATTAAATGATTTTTCCTCACCGAATCACCAATCTAAAAACTTAAGTCCACATATATTACTCTAGTTGATGCTCATAATATATTGGTAAGTTCTCTATTTTTATTTGGTGTAATAAACATACTATTTCACTTTTTAGTGTCGTTAAGTCCTAAATGAAACCATTTTGAAGATCTCTAGACTGTAGGGAATGAAGATGTTGGGACTTTCTCCTTGAACTAGGTATCAAAGAAATTGAATTTATTTTTTATTTTTTATTTTAAATTTTTTATCATTTCTCTATTAAACAAAACTACACTGATTCACCGAACATACACAATAAGTATCTTATTCATTGTCATGCTAACTAGAGTGAGAGTGAATGCAACCTTCCTGTTTAAATTTGTTTGGCAATTGATTGATGTAACATGTGTCTTTTAATCTCTTCTCTTGCAAATATCATTTGGTGACTGGATTATTGACCTTATAGATATAAATGGCAATCAGGGACAAGCCAAGAACGATGCAATAAGTTGTTTTTAGTATATTAATGATTCATCTAACATACAATAGGCAAGTTTCCCTGTACCATCAACTCTGATGTTGAATTCAAGGTTTGAAATTATTAATATTGCAGCAGTGAACAATACCTTGCTTTTTTTAATCAAATAGGCACAATGCGGAATTATAGAAATAGCACCGGTTGTTATCAAAACTAGTTTTATTGGATTGATCATCGTTTGCACAATCAATTTATTTGTTTATTTATTGATTTGTTTTGTAATTTTAAATTTGATGGTGTAAATGATAAAATTGTTGGCTTGTTACCTTTCGTTTCTTTATAGCAAAAGACTTTGTTTTCCCATTCTTTAAGGTTGTATCTCATTTTCTAATCATATATTTGTAAAAAAATTGACCATTTTTATTATTTTGTTATATTAGGTTGAACTGTGTGGAAGAAAGTTGTTGGACTGAGCGGTGTCGGTAATAGGTATGTGTATTCACATTTATTTGTGGCATCATAATTTTAAAGCAGAGGGTTGGGAGAAGGTACTTGCTAGGATTAAAGGGAGTTGTTCTTTAAAGGTATCCACATGCTTCAGCATAGGATAATCCGAATGGAGTGAAAACCCTGTTACGTATGTATCATGGCATTTAAGTTTTAAATTTGATGCCTATTCATCTTTTTCACTCATTAGTCACTTTACACCCCCCCCCCCCCCCCCCCCCCTCCTTTTTTTGTTACGATTTTTTTGCTTACAACGATCAGTTTCGCCTTTTGCCTGACCTTTTTGAACTTTTAGGATTGAGACTGCTTCCCACTTGTTAGGTTTGACATTTGAAAGTTTAGTTGTGGAAAACTACTGGCTCTGATAGACAAGATGAAAGGCTTTGCATGGAGTTATTCCATAGAAGCCTCACACACTGGTTCACAGAGCTTGGCCCTCGTAAAATCTGGAGTTGGAGTGATCTCACCAACACGTTCCTGAAGCAATCCAGTACAACACTAACATAGCACTGGATTGATTCTCCATCGTAAGGATCAAGAGGAGACCCTCCGAGCCATAGTTGTTAAAGGCGCGCCTAGGCTCCAAAAAAACCCCAAGCTTGTCAAGGCTCAGCTAGAGCGCCTCAACCCCTACTATGGGCTAGGCCCCTTCAATCAGGCTCACATAAAGACCTCAGGCTCACACTTTTTAGTAGGCTCCGTGCTAAAAAAAGGGCGCGCCTTGTATTTTTTAATCATTTATTCATATCATTTTCTTTTTTACTTGATGACTAGTAAATTAAAAGTTTCTATATCATATATCTTATTGTTTAACCTTCTGAAATATTTGACAAAGTTCATAAATTTAGGGTTCACTACTTACATTAACTGCAATTACTGCTTGATTATGAATATATATAATAATATATGTTTAAATATGCATTATTATATACACGCGCCTTACTTCGATCTGGCTCGCGCCTTATACTGCGCCTTGCGCTTAGGCTCCAGAAGACATTTGGCATCTTAGTACGCCTTGAGCCTTTAACAACTATGCTCCGAGCTGGTCATGGCTGGTTCCTCCCCTAAAAAAATTACTTTGGCTCAAATCAGAAAAATTCTCACATCGATTAAAGTTGGATTTATTACCTTTTGGACTCCGTGCTCATTTTTGTGAACTGCCGCCAATATTAAAATTTTTAATGCCCTAGCTGTTCTTAGCTTCTTAGCATAACAATCCAACATTTGGATTTATTTTTTTGTAATTCAGGATCTGGATCCACTAGCCCTCCACTGTATGAGTCCCCAGTAGGGGGAAAGGGATTTCTGAAGGGGCTTCATCAGTTGGGTGTTTTTTGACAAACTCAGCTACAAGGCTCGATTGATCCACGAACCCAAAATATCAAGGCAGGACTGGTGTTGGCATTTGGCATTCAACTGAAGTAGGGAATTTCAACCAGGGCCGGTCCTGACGCAAGGCGACAAAGGTGGTCGCCTAGGGCCTCAAAATTTAAAGGCCCATGGATGATGGGCCACCAGAAAAAAATAAATAAAAAATAAAAAATTTTAGGGCAAATTATTTCAGCCTCACCAATCGCCTCCATCTCTATTCTCGTTCTCAACTCTGAACTTGCCCTCTCTCTCTCTCTCTCCCCAACTGCAAACTACAAAATCTACAAGAATCAGAAGTTCAAAACCCATATATTTCAGTTTAACTCTGTTTGCAAGATTCAAAAGTTGAAAACCTATTACCTATATCAAAACCCCCATATCGGCATATCATTTCAGATTGTTCAAAAAATCAAAACCCATATCTTTCAGTTTCCATTGCCCGCTGTTCCAGTTCGGGTTCACCGTTTGCAAGCTTCAGCCGCTGTCTCTCAACTCTCACCCCCGCCCCCCCCCCCCCCCCCCCCCCCCCTCTCCCCTGCAACTGCTAACTTGTATTTATGGGTTTTGTTTTCTATTTGGTGAAATTTTTTATGATCTTTTTTTATATAATTTTTTTTTTTTTTTTTACAATATGAAGTAACAAAATTTGCATTGCATTTTGAGGTAATCACTGTAATCTATGTTTTATTTCAATATATATATCAATATTTTTAGGGCAAATCATTTCAGCCTCCCCAATCGCCTCCATCTCTATTCTCGTTCTCAACTCTGAACTTGCCCTGCACTCGGGAAAAGAATGAGGTTCGTTCGGAGGGATGGGATGTTTCTAAGGGTGGTTGCCCCTCTCTGTAAATGATGATCTCCTACAAAATAAGGGATCTGAGATCATCTAGAGCCAATGATTTCATTTCCTACAGAATCAACAGCCCTTTGTGTATGTGTGGGTATATATATATATATGTATTTGTGTGTGTGTGCGCGTGTGCTGGACTGGTGCATCTCCAATCCTTCTTCTTCCATCATCTTCATCAATCATCATTATAAGAGGCTGTGATGATATATGTTCTGAGTGGATCATACTGGCGTTGAGAATTGGATCCGTTTGTTGGCGGGGCAAACCAGAGGGTCTGTGGGAGAGAGATTTGGTTCCTCTCTCACAAGCAACTGTTGTTGCAGCCAGGGCGGTGGGATATACTCTTGCCCTGATCAAAAGCAGATCTGAGCCTCCATTGTAGTCAAGTGTATTTTATTGAAAAATTTAAAATAAAAAATACTCTGAACTTGCCGCCACCCCCCCCCCCCCCCCCCCCCCCCCCCCCCCGCCTCTCTCTCTGCAACGGCAAACTACAAAATCTACAAGAATCAGAAGTTCAAAACCCATATATTTCAGTATATCTATCTGTCAAATTAGGGTAAGTGAGGCGTTTGAGAGCAGATCTGAAATGGGGATGATGTTTTCCAAAAATCTATGGGGGATTGATTGGTTGGCAGGGAAGCATTATATACATATATGTTGTAATTGTTTGCTTCCCTACTCCACCCATTCCTATGGTTTTCGGTGTTCTCTTTCTTTTCTTATTCAGTTTTGTCATCTCTTTTACACACACTCACACACACACACACACACACACACACACACACACACGTATATATATGTATGTATATATTGTTTATATTTCAGTATATCTATCTGTCTGCAAGAATCGAAAGTTCAAAACCTATTACCTATATCAAAACCCATATCGGCATATCATTTCGGATTGTTCAAAAAATCAAAACCCATATCTTTCAGTTTCCATCGCCCACTGTTACAGTTCGGGTTTGCCGTTCGCAAACTTCAGCCGCTGGCCCGCTGTCTCTCAACTCTCAAGCTATGGAAAAAGAATGAGGCTCATTCAGAGGGATGGGATGTTTCTAAGGGTGGTTGCCCCTCTCTGTAAACGATGATCTCCTACAAAATAAGGGATGTGAGATCATCTAGAGCCAATGATTTCATTTCCTACAGAATCAACAGCCCTTTGTGTGTGTGTGTGTGTGTGTATATATTTGTGTGTGTGCGTGCGTGTGCTGGACTGGTGCATCTCCAGTCCTTGTTCTTCCATCATCATCAATCATCATTATAAGAGGCTGTGATGATATATGTTCTGAGTGGATCATACTGGCGTTGAGAATCGGATCCGTTTGTTGGCGGGGCAAACCAGAGGGTCTGTGAGAGAGATTTGGTTCTTCTCTCACAGGCAACTGTTGTTGCAGCCAGGGCGTGGGATATACTCTTGCCCTGATCAAAAGCAGATCTGAGCCTCAATTGTAATCAAGTGTATTTTATTGAAAAATTTCAAAAAAAAAACTCTGAACTTATGTTGCTTATATTTCAGTATATCTGTCTGTCTGCGAGAATCAAAAGTTCAAAACCTATTACCTATATCAAAACCCATATCAGCATATCATTTCAGATTGTTCAAAAAATCAAAACCATATCTTTCAGTTTCCATCGCCCGCTGTTCCAGTTCGGGTTCACCGTTCGCAAGCTTCAGCTGCTGGCCCACTGTCTCTCAACTCTCAAGCTATGGAAAAAGAATGAGGCTCGTTCAGAGGGATGGGATGTTTCTAAGGGTGGTTGCCCCTCTCTGTAAACGATGGTCTCCTACAAAATAAGGGATGTGAGATCATCTAGAGCCAATGATTTCATTTCCTACAGAATCAACAGCCCTTTGTGTGTAGTGTGTGTGTGTGTATATATATATATATTTTTTTTTTGTGTGCGCGCGCGCATGCTGGACTGGTGCATCTCCAATCCTTCTTCTTCTTCTTCCATCATCATCATCAATCATCATCATCAATCATCATCAATCATCATTATAAGAGGCTGTGATGATATATGTTCTGAGTGGATCATACTGGCATTGAGAATCGGATCCGTTTGTTGGCGGGGCAAACCAGGGGTCTGTGGGAGTGAGATTTGGTTCTTCTCTCACAGGCAACTGTTGTTGCAGCCAGGGTGGTGGGATATACTCTTGCCCTGATCAAAAGCAGATCTGAGCCTCAATTGTAGTCAAGTGTATTTTATTGAAAATTTTCAAAAAAAAAAAAACTCTGACCTATATATTAAAATATATATATATATATATATATATATATATATTTCTATTTGGTGAAATTTTTTATGATCTTTTTTAGGAACAAAATTTGCATAGCAATTTTAGGTAATCATCGTAATCTACATTTTATTTCAGCAAAACAAATATATATATTTTTTATTTCTATATATTTCTGTTTTTATTATTTTTTTTTTTTGGGTTGTGAATTATGTCTACAAGAAATTTGAATCTGGGCATGAAAAAAGAAAAAAAGAAAAGAAAAAAAAGAATCTGAATTGGATTAGAAATCTGCAGAGATTGAATCTGAAAGAATTTTTATCAACATGCCAAGCGTTTTGAAGACGGAAATCTTTTCAGAACTAAAAAAAAAATCAAAACAAGAAGTTTGACAGGCAAAAGTAATTAATATAGGGTAAAGTTACTTCTTGAAAATTAAAATACTTATAGAAAGCATGCTTTTGAGTTATTTCCGTAGTGTTGGAAGGGGCTTGCCATGAACTACCTCACACTCTGCTTCCACTCGTAGATTCTCAAATAGGATTAGTAAATTGGTCAAAAGAAGAGATAGGGTACTGAGTGGTGAATTGTTCAGAAATAAATTGGTAATTTTTTTTTTTTTTAATTACCCAAATAGGATTTTCTATGCTTTAATCAGTCAATTGTCTAAAGAAACATTGTTAATTAACTAAAATTGAATTAAACAACAGTTGATTTTGGTTGATATATGGTTATTTTGCCCACCCCATTGAGAAATCCTGGATCTATATATATATATATATATTTATATATGCAGTGGGTTGCTATAAATCACAACCACTCTCTATCAGCCAACAGTTCGTCGACGCCTTGCAAAGCGGTGGCCGACCGCCACATAGGTCATGGAAGAAGCTTCTGTAGGCAATTACCAGTGAGCTCTCTCTCTCCATCCATTTCAATAGTGTCATCGCTAATTAGTGTTTCGTTTTAAATATTCTATCGTTGGTTTACTGTGATTTGATTTTATCATCAGTTTATTCTTCAGATTGTGAATCAATTTTTGGATGTTCTTGAAAATGGATTTTAAGAATTAGTCATGTGAGTTAAAGTCATTTGATTATTACAAATTAAGGACGATAATCATAAATTATTCGATGTAATTTATGTTTCCAATGTAATCATAAATCTGTTTGTAACAATTTCATCACTATGCTAGTATTAGGTCGAAATTCCAACTACACGGCCCAAATAGTATTAACCTCTGTGAATTCACTACTTCCACTTCACCTGATCTTGTGTTTTTATTTCTTAAACTGAGAATAGCTCATACCAGACCACATGTTATATAATATTTTAAAAAAAAAAATTAAAATGAACCAAAGGAAATAGCTAAATGCAGATTTGTGGTTTTGAACACCTTCAATTTGGGTATTTTTTTAGGGTTTAGTTTTAGAGGGGACACTCTTAATATTGTTGTCATATTGACTAAGTGCAATTATTTGTCATAATTAAATGATTTTTCCTCACCGAATCACCAATCCAAAAACTTAAGTCCGCATATATTGCTCTAGTTAATGCTCATGATATATTGGTATGTTCTCTATTTTTATTTGGTGTAATAAACATACTATTTCACTTTTTAGTGTCATTAAGTCTTAAATGAAACCATTTTGAAGATATTTAGACTGTAGGGAATGAAGATGGTGGGACTTTCTCTTTGAACTTGGTATCAAAGAAATTGAAGTTTTTTTTATTTTTTATTTTTTATTTTAAATTTTTGATCATTTCTCTATTAAACAAAACTACACTGATTCACCGAACATACACAATAAGTACCTTATTCATTGTCATGCTAACTAGAGTGAGAGTGAATGCAACCTTCCTGTTTAAATTTGTTTGGCAATTGATTGATGTAACATGTGTCTTTTAATCTCTTCTCTTGCAATATCAATTGGTGACTGGATTATTGGCCTTATAGATATAAATGGCAATCAGGGACAAGCCAAGAACGATGCAATAAGTTGTTTTTAGTATATAAATGATTCATCTAACATACAATAGGCAAGTTTCCCTGTACCATCAACTCTGATGTTGAATTCAAGATTTGAAATTATTAATATTGCAGCAGTGAACAATACCTTGTTTTTTTTAATCAAATAGGCACAATGCGGAATTATAGAAATAGCACCGGTTGTTATCAAAACTAGTTTTATTGGATTGATCATCATTTGCACAATCAATTTATTTGTTTATTTATTGATTTATTTTGTAATTTTAAATTTGATGGTGTAAATGATAAAATTGTTGGCTTGTTACCTTTCATTTCTTTATAGCAAAAGACTTTGTTTTCCCGTTCTTTAAGGTTGCATCTCATTTTCTAATCATATATTTGTAAAAAAATTGACCATTTTTATTATTTTGTTATATTAGGTTGAACTGTGTTTAAGAAAGTTGTTGGACTGAGCGGTGTCGGTAATAGGTATGTGTATTCACATTTATTTGTGGCATCATAATTTTAAAGCAGAGGGTTGGGAGAAGGTACTTGCTAGGATTAAAGGGAGTTGTTCTTTAAAGGTATCCACATGCTTCAGCATAGGATAATCCATTCATGCTTCAGCATAGGATAATCCGAATGGAGTGAAAACCCTGTTACGTCTGTATTATGGCATTTAAGTTTTAAATTTGATGACTATTCATCTTTTTCACTCCCCGCGGCCCCCCCCCCCCCCCCCCCCTTCCTTTTTTTGTTACAATATCTTTGCTTACAACGATCAGTTTCCCCTTTTGCCTGACCTTTTTAAACTTTTAGGATTGAGACTGCTTCCCAGTTGTTAGGTTTGACATTTGAAAGTTTAGTTGTCGAAAACTGGCTCTGATAGACAAGACGAAAGGTTCTGCATGGAGTTATTCCATAGAAGCCTCACACACTGGTTCACAGAGCTTGGCCCTCGTAAAATCTGGAGTTGGAGTGATCTCACCAACACGTTCCTGCAGCAATCCAGTACAACACTAACATAGCACCGGATTGATTCTCCATCATAAGGATCAAGAAGAGACCCTCCGAGCTGGTCATGGCTGGTTCCTCCCCTAAAAAAATTACTTTGGCTCAAATCAGAAAAATTCTCACATCGATTAAAGTTGGATTTATTACCTTTTGGACTCCGTGCTCATTTTTGTGAACTGCCGCCAATATTAAAAAATTTTATACCCTAGCTGTTCTTAGTTTCATAGCATAACAATCCAACATTTGGAATTTTTTTTTTGTAATTCAGGATCTGGATCCGCTAGCCCTCCTCTGGATGAGTCCCCACTAGGGGGAAAGGGATTTCTGAAGGGGCTTCATCAGTCGGGTGTTTTTTGACAAACCCAGCTACAAGGCTCGATTGATCCACGAACCCAAAATATCAAGGTAGGACTGGTGTTGGCATTTGGCATTCAACTGAAGTAGGGCATTTCAACCAGGGCCGGCCCTGACCCAAGGCGACAAAGGTGGTCGCCTAGTGCCTCAAAATTTAAAGGCCCGTGGATGATGGGCCACCAGAAAAAAATAAATAAATAAATAAAAATAAAAAATAAAATAAAATTTTAGGGCAAATTATTTCAGCCTCCCCAATCGCCTCCATCTCTATTCTCGTTCTCAACTCTAAACTTGCCCCCTCTCTCTCTCTCTCTCTCTATCTCTCCAACTGCAAACTACAAAATCTACAAGAATCAGAAGTTCAAAACCCATGTATTTCAGTTTATCTCTCTGTCTGCAAGAATCAAAAGTTGAAAACCTATTACCTATATCAAAACCCCATATCGGCATATCATTTCAGATTGTTCAAAAAATCCAAACCCATATCTTTCAGTTTCCATTGCCCGCTGTTCCAGTTCGGGTTCGCCGTTCGCAAGCTTCAGCCGGTGTCTCTCAACTCTCAAGCTTCCCCCCCCAATATCTTTCAGTTTCCATTGCCCGCTGTTCCAGTTCGGGTTCGCCGTTCGCAAGCTTCAGCCGGTGTCTCTCAACTCTCAAGCTTCCCCCCCCCCCCCCCCCCCCCCCCCCCCCCCCGCAACTGCTAACTTGTATGTATGGGTTTTGTTTTCTATTTGGTGAAATTTTTTATGATCTTTTTTATATAATTTTTTTTTTTTTACAATATAAAGTAACAAAATTTGCATTGCATTTTGAGGTAATCACCGTAATCTACATTTTATTTCAATATATATATATATATCAATATTTTTAGGGCAAATCATTTCGGCCTCCCCAATCGCCTCCATCTCTATTCTCGTTCTCAACTCTGAACTTGCACTGCACTCGGAAAAAGAATGAGGCTCGTTCAGAGGGATGGGATGTTTCTAAGGGTGGTTGCCCCTCTCTGTAAACGATGATCTCCTACAAAATAAGGGATGTGAGATCATCTAGAGCCAATGATTTCATTTCCTACAGAATCAACAGCCCTTTGTGTGTGTGTGTGTGTGTATTTGTGTGTGCGCGTGCTGGACTGGTGCATCTCCAATCCTTCTTCTTCCATCATCATCATCATTCATCATTATAAGAGGCTGTGATGATATATGTTCTGAGTGGATCATACTGGTGTTGAGAATTGGATCCGTTTGTTGGCAGGGCAAATCAGAGGGTCTGTGGGAGAGAGATGTGGTTCTTCTCTCACAGGCAACTGTTGTTGCAGCCAGGGCGGTGGGATATACTCTTGCCCTGATCAAAAGCAGATCTGAGCCTCAATTGTAGTCAAGTGTATTTTATTGCAAAATTTCAAAAAGAAAAAAATAAAAATAAAAAACACTCTGAACTTGCCCCCCTCTCTGTGCAACGGCGAACTACAAAATCTACAATAATCAGAAGTTCAAAACCCATATATTTCAGTATATTTATCTGTCAAATTTGGGTAAGTGAGGCGTTTGAGAGCAGATCTGAAACGGGGATGATGTTTTTCGAAAATCTACGGGGGATTGGTTGGCAGGAAAGCATTATATACATATATGTTGTAATTGTTTGCTTCCCTACTCCACCCATTCCTATGGTTTTCAGTGTTCTCTTTCTTTTCTTAGTCAGTTTCATCATCTCTTTTACACACACTCAAACACACACACACACGTATATGTATGTATGTATATATTGTTTATATTTCAGTGTATCTATCTGTCTGCAAGAATCAAAAGTTAAAAACCTATTACCTATATCAAAACCCATATCGGCATATCATTTCAGATTGTTCAAAAAATCAAAACCCATATCTTTCAGTTTCCATCGCCCGCTGTTCCAGTTCGGGTTCGCCGTTCGCAAGCTTCAGCCGCTGGCCCGCTGTCTCTCAACTCTCAAGCTATGGAAAAAGAATGAGGCTCGTTCAGAGGGATGGGTTGTTTCTAAGGGTGGTTGCCCGTCTCTGTAAACGATGATCTCCTACAAAATAAAGGATATGAGATCATCTAGAGCCAATGATTTCATTTCCTACAGAATCAGCAGCCCTTTGTGTGTAGTGTATATATATATTTTTTTGTGTGCGCGCGTGCGTGCTGGACTGGTGCATCTGCAGTCCTTCTTCATCTTCTTCCATCATCATCATCATCATCATCATCATCATCAATCATCATTATAAGAGGCTGTGATGATATATGTTCTGAGTGGATCATACTGGCATTGAGAATCAGATGTTTTGTTGGCAGGGCAAACCAGAGGGTCTGTGGGAGAGAGATTTGGTTCTTCTCTCACAGGCAACTGTTGTTGCACCAGGGTGGTGGGATATACTCTTGCCCTGATCAAAAGCAGATCTAAGCCTCAATTGTAGTCAAGTGTATTTTATTGAAAATTTTCAAAAAAAAAATCTCTGATCTTTATATTTTTAAAAATATATATATATATTTTTCTATTTGGTGAAATTTTTTATGATCTTTCTTATATAATTTTTTTTTTTTTACAATATAAAGTAACAAAATTTGCATAGCATTTTGAGGTAATCATCGTAATCTACATTTTATTTTAGCAAAGCAAATATATATATATTTTATTTTAGCAAAGCAAATATATATATATTTTATTTATATAACTTCTATTGTTTTTTTTTTTTTTTTGGTTGTCAATTATGTCCACAAGAAATTTGAATCTGGGCATGAAAAAAGAAAAAAAAAAAAAAAAGAATCTGAATTGGATTAGAAATCTGCTGAGATTGAATCTGAAACAATTTTTATCAACATGCCAAGCTTTTTGAAGACGGAAATCTTTTCAGAACTAAAAAAAAAAAAAATCATAACAAGAACTTTGACAGGCAAAAGTAGTTAATTTAGGGTAAAGTTACTTCTTGAAAATTAAAATACTTACAGAAAGCATGCTTTTGAGTGAATTCCATAGTGTTGGAAGGGGCTTGCCATGAACTACCTCACACTCTGCTTCCAGTCGTAGATTCTCAAATAGGATTGGTAAATTGGTCAAAAGAAGAGATAGGGTACTGAGTGGTGAATTGTTCAGAAATAAATTGGTAATTTTTTTTTAATTACCCAAATAGGATTTTCTATGCATTAATCAGTCAATTGTCTAAAGAAACGTTGTTAATTAACTAAAATTGAATTAAACAGTTGATTTTGGTTGATATATGTTTATTTAGCCCACCCCATTGAGAAATCCTGGATCTCTCTCTCTCTCTCTCTCTCTCTCTCTCTCTCTCTATATATATATATATATATATATATATATACAGTGGGTTGCTATAAATCACAACTACTCTCTATCAGCCAACAGTTCGTCGACGCCTTGCAAAGCGGTGGCTGACCGCCACATAGGTCATGGAAGAAGCTTCTGTAGGCAATTACCAGTGAGCTTTCTCTCTCCATCCATTTCAGTAGTGTCATCGCTAATTAGTGTTTTGTTTTAAATATTCCATCTTTGGTTTATTGTGATTTGATTTTATAATCAGTTTATTCTTCAGATCGTGAATCAATTTTTGGATGTTCTTGAAAATGGATTTTAAGAATAAGTCATGTGAGTTAAAGTCATTTGATTATTACAAATTAAGGACGATAATCATAAATTATTCGATGTAATTTATGTTTCCAATGTATTCATAAATCTGTTTGTAACAATTTCATCACTCGGCTAGTATTAGGTTGAAATTCTAACTCCACGGCCCAAATAGTATTAACCTCTGTGAATTCACTACGTCCACTTCACCTGATCTTGTGTTTTTATTTCTTAAACTGAAAATAGTTCATTCCAGACCACATGTTATATAATAATTAAAAAAAAAAAAAATGTAAAATGAAGAATGAACCAAAGGAAATAGCTAAATGCAGATTTGTGGTTTTGAACACCTTCAATTTGGGTATTTTTTTAGGGTTTAGTTTTAGAGGGTACACTCTTAATTTTGTTGTCATATTGACTAAGTGCAATTATTTGTCATAATTAAATGATTTTTCCTCACCGAATCACCAATCCAAAAACTCAAGTCCGCATATATTGCTCTAGTTGATGCTCATAATCTATTGGTAAGTTCTCTATTTTTATTTGGTGTAATAAACATACTATTTCACTTTTTAGTGTCATTAAGTCCTAAATGAAACCATTTTGAAGATATTTAGACAGTAGGGAATGAAGATGTTGGGACTTTCTCCTTGAACTAGGTATCAAAGAAATTGAATTTATTTTTTATTTTTTATTTTAAATTTTTGATCATTTCTCTATTAAACAAAACTACACTGATTCACCGAACATACACAATAAGTACCTTATTCATTGTCATGCTAACTAGAGTGAGAGTGAATGCAACCTTCCTGTTTAAATTTGTTTGGCAATTGATTGATGTAACATGTGTCTTTTAATCTCTTCTCTTGCAATATCATTTGGTGACTGGATTATTGGCCTTATAGATATAAATGGCAATCAGGGACAAGCCAAGAACGATGCAATAAGTTGTTTTTAGTATATTAATGATTCATCTAACATGCAATAGGCAAGTTTCCCTGTACCATCAACTCTGATGTTGAATTCAAGGTTTGAAATTATTAATATTGCAGCAGTGAACAATACCTTGCTTTTTTTAATCAAATAGGCACAATGCGGAATTATAGAAATAGCACCGGTTGTTATCAAAACTAGTTTTATTGGATTGATCATCTTTTGCACAATCAATTTATTTGTTTATTTATTGATTTGTTTTGTAATTTTAAATTTGATGGTGTAAATGATAAAATTGTTGGCTTGTTACCTTTCATTTCTTTATAGCAAAAGACTTTGTTTTCCCATTCTTTAAGGTTGTATCTCATTTTCTAATCATATATTTGTAAAAAAATTGACCATTTTTATTGTTTTGTTATATTAGGTTGAACTGTGTGGAAGAAAGTTGTTGGACTGAGCGGTGTCGGTAATAGGTATGTGTATTCACATTTATTTGTGGCATCATAATTTTAAAGCAGAGGGTTGGGAGAAGGTACTTGCTAGGATTAAAGGGAGTTGTTCTTTAAAGGTATCCACATGCTTCAGCATAGGATAATCCATTCATGCTTCAGCATAGGATAATCCGAATGGAGTGAAAACCCTGTTATGTCTGTTTTATGGCATTTAAGTTTTAAATTTGATGACTATTCATCTTTTTCTCTCCCCGCCGCCCCCCCCCCCCCCCCCCCCCCTCCTTTTTTTGTTACGATTTCTTTGCTTACAACGATCAGTTTCCCCTTTTGCCTGACCTTTTTAAACTTTTAGGATTGAGACTGCTTCCCAGTTGTTAGGTTTGACATTTGAAAGTTTAGTTGTCGAAAACTGGCTCTGATAGACAAGACGAAAGGTTCTGCCTGGAGTTATTCCATAGAAGCCTCACACACTGGTTCACAGAGCTTGGCCCTCGTAAAATCTGGAGTTGGAGTGATCTCACCAACACGTTCCTGCAGCAATCCAGTACAACACTAACATAGCACCGGATTGATTCTCCATCGTAAGGATCAAGAAGAGACCCTACGAGCTGGTCATGGCTGGTTCCTCCCCTAAAAAAATTACTTTGGCTCAAATCAGAAAAATTCTCACATCGATTAAAGTTGGATTTGTTACCTTTTGGACTCCGTGCTCATTTTTGTGAACTGCCGCAAATATTAAAATTTTTAATACCCTAGCTGTCTTAGCATAACAATCCAACATTTGGATTTATTTTTTTGGTAATTCAGGATCTGGATCCGCTAGCCCTCCTCTGGATAAGTCCCCACTAGGAGGAAAGGGTTATCTGAAGGGGCTTCATCAGTCGGGTGTTTTATGACAAACCCAGCTACGAGGCTCGATTGATCCACGAATCCAAGGTAGGACTAGTGTTGGCATTTGGCATTCAACTGAAGTAGGGCATTTCAACACTGTTTCAGTTTCCTTGTTTAATTTGGTGTATGTAGTACTTTTTCTTATCGTGTATGTTTGTACCAGATCAATGTGGTGAGGATTGTACACCACCATATCATGATGTATGTAGTACTTTGTGTCAAATCATGGCATTCAATGTGTTGAAAGTAGGGCTGCAAGAACCTAGCCCAGTCCCAACTCAATGTGAAAAAAATTTGGGCTCTGACAGTAATCCAAGCCTGAGTGTGTTCGGGTTGACCCGTTTTATCTTTTTTTTTTATTTTTTTTTTTAACCAACAAATAAGCAAATTACATCATTTCTTTTCTGATTTGAAATATCATTGTCACTCAAATATTCAATTATTAATTTTTATGTTTTTTCAACTCTAATTTTATTTTTATTAATACAAAAATATAAAATTTACCTTATTTTATTTTAAATATGAAAGTAAAGAAAAAACTTTCTTTTTTATTTGTTATTAAGTAAAATTTTATTTTTAAATTGCTCTGAATAAAACCCTAAAACACAAGCCGCCGCCAGTGGAGTGGAGTGCAAATCTGAGAAAGGGGAGTAAAAGTAGTGACCACCTTAATGGTATTACCATTTATAGTCTCTTCAATCACATGTATATAAATATATCTATACTATTATTAAATGTACAAAGAGTTGCAGTATTTATTTATTAATATAAAAAAAAATTATTAATTGTTTTATTAGTTTAGTATTTATTTATTAATATAAAAAAATATTTATTAATTGATATAAAAAAAGTTTTTATAAAATTTTAACACAAATTATCTAATAAAATTTCAATACTATTATTATATGTGCAAAGAGTTTCAATGTTTCAATAATTATTTATTAATATAAAAAATATTTATTAATTGATATAAAAAGAGTTTTTATAAAAAGTCTTAACACAAATTACCTAATAAAATTTTAATTACTTATTTTATTTTTTATAAAACTCTATCACATATAACCTATATATATATATATTAGGTCAGGTTTGTGGTGTGCATAATTTTTTTTTTTTTTTGTCTCTTTATAATTGGTCTCGTAAGTTTTTTCTTTATTTTTTTTTTCTCTTTATAATTGGTCTCGTAAGTTTTTTCTTTATTTTTTCTTTTTATAAGCATTATTATTATGTTATTATTTTTCATTTCTCTTTCTAATTGATGTTTAGAAGTGGTAGATTTTTTTCCTTCATTTTTTTATTTTATTATTTTGGTTCATTCTTAATTTATTATTATTTTGAGTCATTATTGTTTTTTTTTTTTTTTTTTTAGAAGTATCATTCTTCTTTTTTCTTTAGTTTTTATTTTTATTTTACTATTTGTAATTATACTTTGGATGGTTCAAAATTTATTATTCTTAATTTGTTGTATTGAGAAGGTTGGATTGTTAATTTTTTTCTTTACTTTTTCTTTTTAGAAGCATTATTATTATTTTTTTTCTTTGGTTTTATTTTTATTTTTCTCTTTCTAATTGATATTTAGAAGTAGTTGATTTGTTTTATTTTATTTTTCTCTTTTTAATTGATGTTTAGAAGTGGTTGATTTGATAAGTTTACTTTGGATTGTGATTTTTTTTTCTTTCTTTTTTATTTTTATTTTGAATGGTTCAAAATTTATTATTCTTAATTTGTTGTATCGAGAACGTTGGATTGTTAATTTTTTTTCTTTACTTTTTCTTTTTAAAGGCATTATTATTATTTTTTCTTTTGTTTTATTATTTTTTTTTTCTCTTTCTAATTAATGTTTAGAAGTAGTTGATTTGTTTTATTTTATTTTTCTCTTTCTAATTGATGTTTACAAGTGGTTGATTTGGAAAGTTTACTTTGAATTATGATTTTTTTTTTCTTTTATTTTTTATTTTTGGTTCATTCATAATTTATTATTATTTTGAGTCATTATTGTTATTTTTTTCCTTTACTTTTTATATTTCAGAAGTATCATTATTCTTTAGTTTTTATTTTTATTTTACTCTTTATAAGTTTACTTTGGATTGTAATTTTTTTTTTCAGTTTTTATTTTTTATTTTTTGTTCAATCTTAATGCAGGTTTCAATGTTTTTTGGTTTTCAGTTGGACTTGATTTTGAATTGAATTTGTTGGTGAAAATTTTTTATATGTTTTTTTTTTTTCAATTTTTATTATTTTTTATTTTTGATTCATTCTTAATATATTATTTTGAGTCAATGTTTCAATATTTATTTATTTCTTTCTTATTTTTTACTAACAAAAACTAAATTTGAGAATTCAAATTTTCAAATCAAATAAGTTGATAGATTCTTTCCCTTTTCTTAATGTCCACTTTCATATTTCCAAAGGTCAGGTCATGTTACCAAATTGTACAATTGATCAATGCGTAGCTAAGAATACAAATTTCTATGATGAAAATAAAATATTTTTATAAAATTTATCACAAATTATATATTTTATTTTCAATAAAACTCTATCACATGATTCTCATTAGACAATGATATATTCAAAGAGTTTATATAAAACTCTAACACAATGTACCTATTTATCTATTTATTAGTAGTTTTTTAATGAAAGGAAATCTATTTAATAAAAAATTATAAATATAAAAAAAAAAAATTATTAATTGATATAAAAAGAAATTTTAAAAGAGTTTCAATAAAACTTTGACATAAATTACCTATTTATCAATTTATGAGTTTTTAATAAAAACAAAATTTAATTAGACAAGAATTATTAATATAAAAAAATATTTATTAATTGATGTAAAACGAGTTATTAAAAAAGTTTATACAAAACTATAACACATATTACCTATTTATCTATTTATTATGAGTTTTTTTAATAAAATAAATCTAAATAATAAATAAAATAATTTATATAAAACTCTACTACAAATTAGCTATTTTATTTTCTATAAGACTTTATCACATATAACATGTATTTACATATTTATTATGAAAATATTTAAATAAAATAAAATAAATTCTATAAAATTCCACCTCAAATTACCTACTTTATTTTCTTTAAAAATCTATCACATGTAACATGTATATATCTATTTATTATGAGTTTTTTAATAAAAGAAATCTAATTAAACAGAATATATTTAAAGAAAATAAAATAATTTTTTAACAGAGTTTCTATAAAACTCTAACACAAATTCTCTATTTATCAATTTAATATGAATTTTTTAATAAAAGAAAATCTAATTAGACAATTATTATAAATATAAAAAATATTTATGAATTGATATAAAAAAATTAAATAATATCTTTAAAACTTTACCACAAATTACCTTTTATTATGTGTTTTTTAATAAAAGAAAATATAATTAGATAAGGATATATTTAAAGAAAATAAAATAATTTTTATAAACTCTACCATAAATTAGTTGTTTTATTTTTAATAAATCTCTATCACATTCGACAGTGATATATTTAAAGAGTTTCAATAAACTGTAACACAAATTATCTATTTATCTATTTATTATGAGTTTTTTTTAATGAAATGAAATATAATTAAACGATAATTATTAATATAAAAATATTTATTAATTGATATAAAATAGATTTTAAAATTTTTTTTGTTAAACTTTAACATAAATTACCTATTTATTAATTTATTATGAGTTTTTCAATAAAAAAAAAATCTAATTAGACTAGAATTATTAATATAAAAAATATTTATTAATTGATATAAAAAATAAGATAATTTTTGGAAAATTTTATCACCTATAACCTATTTATTATGAATGTATTTAAAGAAAGTAAAACAATTTCTATAAAACTCTACTACAATAATTTTTTAGAAGATTTTCTATAAAACTCTAATACAAATTACTTATTTATTTATTTATTTATTATGAGTTTTTTAATAATGAAATTCTAATTAGCTACCAACAGGCCTGTGCCTTAGCAGTATAAGGTTCCTACTTCCCAAAGGAAGGTCAGGGGTTCGAACCTCAGTGGAGGCAGTGTGTGTGAGTTTCCCAATTAGAGAAAAAAAAAAAAAAAAAAAAAAATCTAATTAGCCAATAATTATTTATATAAAAACTATTTATTAATTGATATAAAAAATAAAATAGTTTCTCTAAAACTCTACCTCAAATTACCTTTTATTATGAATTTTTTAATAAAAGAAAATCTAGTTAGACAATGATATAGTTAAAGAAAATAAAATAATTTTTATAAAACTCAACCACAAATTACCTATTTTATTTTCAATAAAACTCTATCACATTAGACAATGATATGTTTACAAAACTCTAACACAAATTACCTATTTATTATGAGTTTTTTAAGAAAAAAAATCTAATTAGACAAGAATTATTAATATAAAAAAATATTTATTAATTTATATAAAAATAGTTTTTAAAAGAGTTTCTATAAAACTCTAACACAAATTACCAATTTATCTATTTATTATGAGTTTTTTAATAAAAGAAAATCTAATTAGACAATAATTATTTATATAAAAAAATATTTATTAATTAATATAAAAAATAAAATAATTTGTCTAAAAACTCTATCTCAAATTACCTTTTATCATGAGTTTTTTAATAAAAGAAAATCTAATTAGACAATGATATACTTAAAGAAAATAAAATAATTTCTATAAAATTCTAACACAAATTAACTATTTTATTTTTAATAAAATTCTATCACATTAGAGAATGATATGTTTAAAGAGTTTCTATAAAATTCTAACACAATTTACCTATTTATCTATTTATTATGAGTTTTTTTTATAAAAAAAAATCTAATTAGACAAGAATTATTAATATAAAAAAATATTTATTAATTGATATGAAAATAGTTTTTAAAAGAGTTTCTATAAAACTCTAACGTAAATTACCTATTTATCTATTTTTTATGAGTTTTTAATAAAAGGAAATCTAATTAGATAAGAATTATTAATATAAAAAATATTTCTTAATTGATATAAAAAATTAAATAATTTTTCTAAAACTCTACCACAAATGACCTTTTATTATGACTTTTTTAATAAAAGGAAATCTAATTAGACAAGAATTATTAATATAATAAATGGTCTATAAAATTCTACCACAAATTAACTATTTTATTTTTTTTGCATTTCAGTATTTATTTATTAATATAAAAATATTTGTTAATTGATATAAAATGAATTAAAATAAAAGAGTTTATATAAATAAAATGAATTAAAATAAAAGAGTTTCAAATCATTATTAAAACAACTAAAAAGTAAGTACAATAGGTAATTGTTCAGTAAAATAATTTACTAAATAATAAA